TGTTTTCCTGCCGGGCTGTGTGCTCGGGGTGTGCTCAGGGTCACGCAGGAGGGCTGAGTGGGGAGCAGATTGTTGCCTTCCGCGCGGCCGTGGCACGGATCCGCCACCATCCATCCATCCATCCATCCATCCTTCCTGTTTCCATGGCTACAACAGAGTTTACTCTTCCCTGCCTTCGACCGCCTGCACGGGCGTCATGCAAAAAAAGGTCCCTGCAAGAGGCAAAAAGCCAAGGGACTGGGAGCTCCTGGGTTTGGGGAGCAACAACTGCATCCAGGGTGGGCAAACCACACGACAACCCTCCTGGCAGCACCTACAGCCCAACTGAGCAGCATCTTGGAGGTGTTCAGGGGAGCTGTGGCTTGTTTTGGGGTGCTGTCTTCCCCTCCTTGTGTCCCTGATAGCAGCAGGGACCCAGGGGAGCAGGAGTGATCTCCTGGGAATAAATCCAGGCGCTCAATGCGAGGTGACAGCTCAGAGATCCCTGAGCTCGGGCTGAGGCTCCGTGATGGGGGAGAACAAAACCCCAGGCTGGGTCACCACGTGGATTTCAGTGGCCAAATGTGGGTCAGCAGAGGCCTCGCTGGGGAGGCAGGACTGTCACAGCACCACGGGGATGGCAGAGCACCGAGGGGATGGCACAGCACGGCAGGAATGTCAGGGCACAGCAGGGATTTGTTTGCTTTCTAAACAAGGAGCAGAAGGGCAGCGTATCCCAATCCATGGCTGAGTTTCCCTGGGCAGGGGGATTTTGGCTGAGGGGTTCCCAGGACGTGGCTAGGGCACAACTGGCTGTGAGGGTGTGTGACCATTTCCAAATCCATGGGGTGCTCTGATTCATGGGACCAGTGGGTGAAGTGGGAAGCACTTCCAGAGCCTGGGTGTGTTACACCTGGTTGCGTTTGTGGGGAGCCACACACATGCCAGAGCCTTAGTCACTGCCAGAGCAATCCTCGTACCCTGCCTATGCATCCTGGGATCCCCCTGGCCAAGCTGCCTGTGCTCCCATCCCATTTCCACACATCCAGCACTGCACGGGGTGCTCTGAGCTCCCATCCCATTTCCTATGCTGGTGCCTGCAGATGCTGGTTCACGACACAATAGATTTCCAGACAGGCTGTGCAAAAGAAAGATGCCACTGACTGCTCAGGCTATCCCAAGTGTGTTCCCTGGTGCAAAGGTTCCCTGGTGTTTGGGCCCATGGGGAGCCTGCAGTGTGACAGGCATTGCCCAACAGCTCCTGCTCCACAGAGACCCAAAGTTCTGGATGCCTATGCACTCCAAGCTGCTGTTTGACCCCATCTCTGGGTTTCCCTGCTCCTTATCTGTTGGGTTCCCATAGGATCCTGACCCAGCACTGCCATGGTGTGCCAACACACCGCTGGGATGTGTGGTCTGGCTGTGGTTCCCCTGTGGGAGCATATTCAGCTCCATGGGGAGCAGCCAGGTGGGACAGGGGCACAGCAGGATGGGGCTGGGAGCATCTGAGTGTATAAGGCTCCTGCTGGGTTCACTCCCTGGCTCTCTCCATCACCTCCAGTTTGCAGGGAGCCTGGTGGGGATGTGTCTGCTTTCCCTGTGCCACTGAGTGCACTTTCTCCACACTCACTAATAAATCTGTGCTGGTTTTTCCCAGAAGGTCACCGAGCCAGTTTGTTGGGAGGGCAGAGGAGATCACTGTGGGGCATTGCCATGTGCTTTGGATTTTTCCCTTTTCCACGTCACACCTGGGCAGCAGCTCTGGGGTTTCTCTGTGGCTGAAAAGCCTCTGCTCCAGCACTGTGCTTGTCTCCCTAGGAGCTGGTGTAGGTTTCAGAGGCCCCAGCTGATGGGAATTCAAGCAGACACTAAAACTAGAGCTCCTTGTGCTGTGTTCTGTGCTCTCAGCCCTGCCCTGGCCGTGGGGAGCAGTGTGAGCCCCCAGGATGAGCTCCAGGAGCCCTCACCTCCCAGGCTGAGTCACCTGCAGTTCCAGTGCCTGTGCTGCTGGTGTGACGGCAGCTGCAAGGCCCAAAAAAAACCCCCAGCACTGATGTTTTAATGACAGGCAGATAACACGGCCCTGAAGAAGACTCATACCGCACATACCTCATTAGTGTGACTAAGCCTTCTCTGGGCTGAGCAGCCACAGCCTCCTGCATCACCCCAGCCCTGTGCCACCAATGCTGCTGGTCCCCTGATCCCAGACTGCCCCTCTGGCCCAGCCTCGCTCCATTTTTAATCTCCCGTGCTTACCTGAGTCTCTAATTAAGCCAAGAGCAGCGCTCAGCCCTGAGCTCAGAGAGCTGACGTTCCCCGAGTGCCAGACCCACACAGCAGCCCACTGAAACAACCCCCAGCTGAGGGTTTTCCCTTTGTTTTCCCTTGCTTTTTAATTCCTCCCCCTGCACCAACACTCGGCAGGTGTGTAACACTAACCCAAGGCAGGTCTGAGTCACAGAATCCCAGAATGGTTTGGGTAGGAAGGATCTCAAAGCTCGTCGCGTTCCATTCCCTGCCATGGGCTGGCACATCTTTCACTGGGCCAGGAGAGGTGAGGGGATGGTCTGTTGGCAGCGAAGCTCTCAAAAAAGGGGTGTGGACTGCTTGGGGTAGTTTTCCTTTTTTTGTTTTACAGTAAAGTTATGACTGGTCAGTTGGAGGCATCCAAAAAGAGCTTTTTTTGTGCGTCTTCCCACCGGGAGCATCTGTTGAGGGAGCTTGTCTTGGGGTGATGCATGGGAACCACAGGTGCTGCTTCCCGAGCCAGTGGGCAGGGCAGGAGCATCCCTCATCCTCCCCTGCATCCCACCTGGCTGTCTCCTGGCCAAAACCAACCCCCACCAGGGCAGGGAATGTGCTCTGATCTCCGCGGGTGGCTGTGCAGGTCTGGGCGAGGGGGAGAGACACACATCGCAACTGGAACAGCATATCCATGGCAACCCCAACTTTTCATTAGTGTTAATTACTTGCAGAGTAGCAGAGCCGTGCATGGAGCTTCCCAGTGTGGATAAAGATAGATCCTCCCTTTCCAGCCCCTCCGGATGACACAGAGGGCACAGTGAGCTCCGGGGAGGCTGGAGCAGGTCTGGTGTGCAGGGAAGGAGATGTTTAGTGAGGAGTCAGAGGAACTGGCATTTAGAGGGGCAGAGAGGAGCTTGGGGCAGCTTTTCTCCCCCCAGAACACCTTCCCAGAGTGTGGGGAGTTGGTTCAGAGGGGCCACAGTGGTGTGTGCCCAGCTGGGAGGGACAGGCACAAAGGGGAGGTGCAGGTCTTACAAGAGTTGTACCAAACTCCTGCTGTTGGTGACTGATCCCTGTGCCTCGGAGGGGTGACCATGGCCAGGGTTGGGACTGGCACCAGGGCACACTCCTGGGCCTGTTTGGGTCCCTTTGGGGCACAGGGATCACTGAGGTTTACTGCGTGGAGATGTGGCTCATCCCAGGATGGTCCCAGTGGCTTTTTTTTTGTGTGTAAGTCACAGCACAGGACACTGAGCAAAGGCAGTTTGTCTGTTTAATGTTAAAAGTGGGAAAAACATTCCCAAGGCTTTAGAGCTTACTCTGTCCCTTCCCTTGTCATTGCCAGTTATAGTCCCAATTTCTATAGACTTGAACCTTCAACATGTAGTTCATTACTGCTGCTTTTCTTCAATCACAGTATTTTCCAGGTGCTGTAGTGCTCACCTCCCTGCAGCTGCTGCTCTGCATTGCTCTCCTCTCTCCTGGTGAGAGGCTGATGGATATAGATCCAGGCAGCTGCCTGACCTTTACAGGCTCACTCCAAGTCCAGGGATGTGCATGGAAGATTGTTTCAAGTCATTCTGATTTTATTACAAACCAAAACACTTCACATTCAGTGGCACCTCAGGTCCACAGGATAATTACTCTTGGGAAAAACAACAACCCAAACTTAAACACCTTAAACAGGTACTGGTGGAGCTCTTCAGGAGATCCCAAGCTTGAGAGCATCCAGCACCTCCCCTGCTTTTTGTCAGGGTTCCTGTGGGACATTGTTTCAGCATTACACCTTAGCAGGAAGCTGACAAAGGATTTACTGTGCAATAAACAACACCGAGCTGCATCTGCAAAGAACCATCTCCATCATCCAACTGATTGCCAAATCCAAACCTTCTGCACTGGATCAGCTGATGTGACAGAGTTGTGTGTGTGTAGGAACTTGTTGCACCTCCTCATTGCTCGTTGGCCAACTGGGCATGTCATTGCTCAGGCTGAGGGGTAAAATCCCACACACAGGAGCTTCCTGCTCTTAATTTTCTGTGGGAGAACAGCGGGGCCCTGAGCACCTTTTTATCCCAAAGGCTGCAGTGGCTGCACCTTCCAGTCTTCCCAAAGAGCCAAAAAGGCTGAAACCAAGGGACTATATATAACTTGACAACCCCAAATCAAGGGGTGAGCACATGAAGCTCATTGGTTTGTGCAGGGCTCTCCTGCTGGGATATGTGCTAATACCACATCAAAGTCACAAGTGTTGAGGAGCTTCCCTGCCATGTCCTTGCCCATCCTTTGTCACAATTAACTTCAAGAGACTGGACCACTGCAAGCTCTATTTTTAGACCCTGGGGCATGTGCTGTCGCCTTTGAAAGCTGCTGCTGATTTGGGAAGGAGCACGAGGAGGGAGGAGACTGCACTTCTGTACCCTGTGCTGCACAATGTGTGGCTCTGTCCTTATTCTGTGTCACCACCAGCATAAAGTACCACGATTCTCCCTGCGGGGGCAGGAGGTGTGAGCAGTCAATGCCCATTCACGGTTTAAGATGAGCTTATCCGGCACATGATCCTTTCCAGCAGAATTCTGAGCCAAAGGGAGCCCAGACAAAGAGATGTCAGCATCCATAGCGTTTAACAAAGCTCCCTACTTGTTTTAACAGGAAAAAAAAAAAAGAGCCCCAAAAGGTTTAAACAAAAGGAAATGTCCTTCATTCAACACTGATAAAATCTTTCCAAGTGACTTCAAAGCTCCTCCACATCTGCCTGCCCCAGCCCAGGCTGCCTGTCCTCAGGCCTTTGTGATGTATCCTTCTCTGATCAGGAAGTCATAGATTTTCCTGGTTTTGTTCACATCGATCTTGATGAGGGTTCGAGCCTGCGCCAGTCTCAGGCCTCCCTGTTTGTTGCACTCGCTCACTAAAGCAGCTTTATATTCCAAATAGGCTCCAGGGACCAACCTCACCATCTGACAGAGCTGCAAGACAAAAGGGGAAGTTAATAAACACCAACACTGGCCACGCTCTGCCATTCCCACATCCCTGCCGGGGGGAGGAAGGTCGGGAATATTTGCCTGGAGAGGTTTTCAGTGTATTTCTTTGCACAGGGGCAGGGCCTGGCTGTTTGGATCCACAGGTAGCAGGGGAGGAGCTTTGCTGGCTCCGCATTCACAAACATTCCTGACTCAAAAGGGAAGGAGGAGGATGGAGGCAGCCCTGGGCTCGCAGGAGCACAGCTCTGAGTGTGTCCTGCGTGGGTGCTGCTCCTTCCCAGCGCCGGGAAGGACACGCCAGGCTGGCAAGCAGCGACTGGGCACGCTGGCCCTGGGCCAGGGAGGGCATCTGGCTGCTAATCCCCTGCAGACTCAGCCTTTAATGCCTTCCACACAAGCAGCACCGCCAGCCCCGCCGGGATCAGGGCTGGAAGCTGTGCAGGGAGAGCACTGCGTGTTTGGGAAGGAGCCCTTCCCCAGCCCCTGAGCTGTGCAGCTCCCCAAAAGCAGCATCATTCCCAGAGCACAGCAGAGACACTGCCTGTCTCCTCCTTTTAATAAGGAGATGCTTCATGCTCCTTCCTCACTGGTAGGAAATTGCAGAATTCCTCAGACTTTGTGTCTCAGCTGAGGAGGAAATCAGATTTCTCATACACACTCATGTCCTGTCACCATCCTTGCTGTGCTGAGTGGAGTCAGTGCCAGTGCCAGGCAGAGCTGGGAGCTGATTCCCAGCGCTGCCAGTTCCAGCCAAGGGGAAACGCACAGAGGGGACAGGCTGAAACACAGCTGTGCCTCATGTGCACTGCAATCTGCCCTGAGCAATCTAAGGACAGATCAGGACTCCTATTAAAAAATAATGATGCCTTCTTTCAATAGTTTTCCACTGAATTAGAGGACAAGTTGACACTGGGCTGGAAGACTGAGCCCTGAATGCAGAGTGCACCTCTCCTGGGGGCTGCAGCCACATGTCTGTCAGCTCTGACTGCTCCAGGTGAGCACTCTGGAAGGGACTGCAGGCTGCAGCACCAGGCTGAGAGAAACACCCATGGCTTGGATCCCACTCTGTGCCACATGTGCACACAAACCCCTCAGTACACGCACTGCCGAGCAGAAATATGGGAAAGATACATAAAGGACAACACACTGTTGTTGTCTCCATGGTTCACATCAGTGTTGCAGTGAAAAACCCACAACTGGCTGAGGTTTGGCTGGGAGGTGTCTATAAAAGGAGCTCTACTACTCTTGGGGTGTTCTGTGCAGGGCCAGGAGCAGGACTTGAAAATCCTTGTGGGTCCCTTGCAGCTCAGGATGTTCTGTAACATTCAGGGTCAGTGATCTCTCCAGTGAAGCCCTTGAGGAAAATCTCTGCCAGTTTTACAACCAATGTTCATCAAGGAAAAACAACCCTTCTGCTCACCCCAACCTCACAGCATGGGGAGGGAGGATGCCACACTCTGGATGCTCTAACAGCACCTAATAACACCTTTCTTTGCCAAATTACCTCATTTGCTGCAGCTTATGCTGCGTGTGTAGTACAGGAAATGAAGAAGCCAAGTGGAAAACCTGAATGATTTCTGTGAGGAGGAAACAGTCAGGGCCTGCGAGTGCTGTGATATTCACAGCCCCCGAGACACGGTGTGAGCAGCTCTGTGAAGACACAGAGATGATATTTCCATGCTTTCCTCACCTCCTTCTCCTTGTCGTTGAGCTTCTCTGTGCCTGGCAGCCCGGTGAGGTTCAGCGGTGGGGCACTGCGCCTGCCTGCAGGGGAGAGAGCAACACTGCAGAGCTGGCAGCAGCTTGGGGGTGGCTGCTCCTGGGGTGTGTTGTGGAGACAATGAAACCCTGTGACGTGATCCAGTGTTTCCAGGCAGGGTTATTTAGGGCTTAACATAAAACTCTGCTGATTTGATAAAAGGTTCGGTTTTGCAAGCAGCATAGCTAAGCTCTGTGAGTGCTGTTGGATTTGGGGAGGAACTGCAAGACAACAACCTCCTGTCAGCTGGGCTGAGCCTCCTGACTAACCCAGCTCCCCCAGCCCAGCTCGGGGAGGGAGTGCCAGGGCGTGAGGGACCCAACCCCGTGGGGTGAAACCAGGGCCTCGTGAAGATGCTGAGATCATTTATTGGTGTGATTAAGCAGCTAATTTCTTTGGCATCACTGACAACTTCACGAGGCAGAGTTTTCTTTAGATGCCTTTAAATCCAGTGCAGATATTGCAAAGCAAATGCAGTTTGGGGATTTATTTTGGTCTGTTATAAACAGTAAAATAAATATTTATCACAAGGTCATCTGCTAGTTCTCACTTTCACTATTGTTTATGTAACACTGCTGGACTTTAACTGGTGCAGCTTAAACCTTCCTGAGAGCTCACTACTTGCAGGTTTGGCTTTTTTTTTCCCCATAGTATTTTTTTCTGGAACTTCCAGAGCTCAGGACAAAGCTATTTATTCACATTTTCCAAGTCTCTTGCCCCTATGCTGTGGGTTGGATATTTAGCACTGATAGAGACAAGCCTCTCTCCCAGAATGACTTCCAAATTTGGCAAAGTGATGAAACCTTGGGAATGTGCAGCTCTGTATTCCCAAGGACTGTGCTGGAGGCTGCTCCAGACCCTGCCTGGGTCCTCCCCTGGCACTGGGGAGTGTCTGTGCCTCCTGGGCATCTGCAGGAACAGATGGGATCTGCCTGGGTGTGGGGAGGCTGATCAGAGAGAACTGAAGGGCTAGAGAGAAGCTGGAGTGTGAGTCTGTGGGAGGTGCAGAGGAAGTTATTTCCCAGCACTGCTCCCTCCTTCCGTGGCCTGGAACGAGGGTGCAGTGATGAGACACGACAGGATCTGGCTTTACTTCTATAAACCTAGGAAATACCATATAAACTACCTGAAAGAAAACATCTTGAGGCTGCAAAGGCAAGAGCTCAGAATCTAGGAGCGAAGTGAAGCACCATTAATTTGCCCTGTTGTGTATTCAGTGGGATGCAGCCTTTAATTAGAGGCACGTGGCAGCCCTTCTGCACATCCTGCCTCTTCCCTGGGCAGCAGCTTGGCTCCATTACCAGCTAACTATATGGTGTTTTGTTTGGGTTGTGTTCAGCATGTGATGCTGCTTGTAAACACTGAGTGCTCCCAGAACCTCACAGCAACACGATCCATGTGCTCCTGGGCTCCCATGGGACACTGAGCACTTGACAAAACATGAGGTTCATTCCCCACACAAACCTTCAGCTGAAGGAATGTCCTCATGTCAGGGACTCTGATACACAATGCTATTTTTTCTCCCCAATACCAGATCTTAGCAATCAACAAATATGTTTAAAACACACTGCACTGACTCACTGCTTGGTATCCTGACCCAAATTTCTAAGACTCCTGGCAGAAATGAGGAAGAACATATCGAGTCAGTGTCAACCTCTGAGCAGTTTGAGTCAAGTGGTTTAATAACATCCACATAAAAACTGGGTGTAGGGACAGGGCTAAAGCCAATTTTCCCTGGCAGTATTTAACAGCCTTGTAGTAAAACTTCATCCCAGTGTCATTCACTGGTGTGACCTCAACAGAAGGGGTGGGAGTTTATACCAGTCTTGCTCATGAGGACCTTGACTGACCCTGAATCTGCCCTTATTGGGCCCTGAATGAAGTTGGGATCCTCTTGGTGGGAAAACCCACAATTTGTGCTCACTGAATGTAAAAACTCTTCTGTTTCCTGCCTTGCTCATGTAGCTTTAGGATGGGGTTTGACCTGCAGTCAGAAAAATCTAGAGATTCAGCAAAAAAATCTTACAGGATATGCACGTGGAATGAGTTGCAGATTGATGAATGTTGACTTATTACATGTTGATAATGGTGACGTGCTTAACTATGAGACTTGAAGACTGACAACTTAGCACTCCAGAAAGAGTCAGAAAAAGGCTGTCAGAGAAATATTACTGGTTTTTAGACACCATCTTACCCGTAGTTGAGGGAACTGGTACCGTGGGAGTCAGGCCAGAATCACTGAAAAGAAAGGAAATTTTCAAATTCATGGGGTTTTAAAGGAATAATTAATATATTGGCCCTGAAACTAATTTTCCCCACTTCTAATAACAATACAATTCAACCTGCACAACCCAGGTCTGATCTGAAGGCAACAGGAGTTCTAAGTATTCAGTGTCCCCACACTGAAGATCAGGTCTGAAACCTGTTAAAAACCTCAACAAATAAATGTGGAGGGGAACACAGTAAAAAATTCAGTGGAGACTGAGTGGGGGGATTCCAAACCATCTCCTGCACACAGGATGCACTTCCTTTCTGTTGCAGTTTGGCCCTTAGCTCAAAGTGCTGGTGCAGGGTGATGACACATTAATAATGCTGCTATATCTGAAATCATCTGAAACATTCCAAGTGTCATCTGTGCCCTCATTAATATCCATAAAGACCTCATTTCCCTCCCTGACTTTATTAACAGCAATTCAGCCTCTGAAATACAGAACACAGAAAGCTGAGGGTTCTGAGCCCTCAGATCCTTCCTGGCCTGCACTCGACAAGCATTATTGCTGTTAGTCACCTTTTTGCCCTTCTGAATTTTGCAGATTGTTCCTACTGTTATAAACTGGGAATGAATTCATTATTATCACACAGGAAAATGTGTTTTATGCTAACTAAATTATAGAATAACAGACTGGTTTGGGTTGGGAGGACCTTGAAGATCATCTAGTTCTACGCCCTGCCATGGGCAGGGAAACCTCCCACCAGCTCAGGTTGATCCAAGCCCCATCCAACCTGGCCTGGAACACTCCCAGGGATGGAGCAGCCACAGCTGCTCTGGGCATCCTCTGCCAGTGCCTCACTACCCATACAGTAGAGAATTTCCCCCTAACATCCAGTCTATATTCCCTCCTTCACCTTAAGGCCATTCCCCCTTGTCCTGTCCCTCCATGCCCTCGTGCCAAGTTCCTCTCCAGCCTTCCTGCAAGCCCCTGTAGGTCCTGGAAGGCTGCTAAAGCCCAGGTGAGTGAAGCCCAGGTGTGGAACCCACAGCCTTACTGTCCCATACATGTCTGCCTGGCGGCTGAGCCACTGCTGGCAGGCACTGCTGTCCTGGATGTACTGCAGCACCTCCGAGAGCATCGTGCGCTTCAGCCGCTCCTCGTCCCGCGTCTTCTTCAGGTGGTCATAGGTCCTGGCACCTGTGGCAAACACACACCACCTGCTCAGCAGCTTGCTCAAAATGTCCACACTGCTCCTTTCTGCTGTAGGGAATCATGAGGAAGTTCTCCAGCTCTGCCCCAGACGCTGCTATTCTCCCTCTTGACAACGCCTTGGCACCAGAAGGGATTAGGTTCCACCCTGCACCCCTCCCCCACGTGCATTTCAGGCCAAAAGCAAACAAAAACGGCTTGCATGATCCAATTCCAGGAGAAAACAGGCTGTTTCCTTTATGTGGAGGTCTTAGGCCTCTCTGCAGATAGCACACATGTTGACAGCTGGTGCAAGTACCCAGAGATAAAACCTTGGGACCACTGTGCCATGACATCTCTATTTTTCTCTGGATCTTTTGCAACGTGGTGACTGGAGCAGAGCTGTGCCTGGCAGCAGGATCCCAAGGCTGATGGCTCAAACCAGCTTGAAAACAGCCCAGCTGGGCTGTGCAGTACTGCTGAAGCCTTGCTCAGCCACAGAGCCAGGCAAATGCCTTTGGAAATAAGTGTCTTTTTATTCAACACGTCCTGAGTGTTGTAGAATCATCCTCCCCCCCTTGATGGATGGGAATGGGTTGAATAATGCATCAAGTACTTACTGCAGAAGTTGGTGATTCCTGATGCTCTGTATTTCCCTTCGCAGCTCAAACTCCACTGTTGGACCCCACGAGTGAGCACGAGGGAAAGGCAAAAGACAAAAGTGGGTCAGTGGGGTGGAATGGCAATGTGGCTGTTTCTTACTTGCCCACTGAGTTTGGCTATGGACACACAAACCACAGCCAGGGTTAACCTCCCTCCACAACATCTCCAATCCAGAGCAATTTGGTCACACATTTAATTTTCTGGTACTTGTGTGCTCAGAGCTTTCTCTCTGTGCTTTGACAGTCCCTTTGCCACACTCTGGACAAGGCAAGTAACAATACAGTGGGATTTCTGGAAGGCATTTCAATAGGTTTGACACACTCCTCCAGCCAAGCTCCTGAGACATCTAATAGTCTCTTGGAACTATGATTTTCATAACTGGACCTCCCAAAATGTTCCCCTGCAGACAACTCTCCCTGCAGTCAGTAAGGTTAAATTATTAAGTGTTTCCTTTGCTCAGAGATATTTGCTGCCTGTAGCTCTTATCAGCTGCCTGTAGCACTGCTCAGTTTTACAGGGAGCAAGTTTCCTCGTGGATTTGTTTCCTCCTGTTGTCCAGGAGATCTGTGTATCACCTGTACCTGACTGTCAGGTTCACCTGAGGACTTTGCTGCCACTACAACACCACCAGGCTCCAGGACGAGCACTCCCATGTGGGACTCATGATTTTGCAGGTTCATGCTTTTGGTATTTCACACAGGGTGTCCTGAAAACACAGTCACAACTGGGGAAATGCTTTGTTCCTTCTCACAAGGCACAATTTTCCCAGTTTAAGTCAGAGAATGAAGCAGGATGTGGTGACTCTATTGTGATTTGCCTAAATGCAGGCTGTGAGATGATTCAGGGATGAACAATGCCTCTCCCTGAAGGTAAGGGACATAATGACCACTGCACTCTATAATTATGTCACATACCATAGTTTAACTTGTATCTTTCAAAGAATTCAGTTTGCTGCTCCCAGTCTCTCCATACAGACATAATACAGGGATTTTGTTTTTCCCATGACACAGACCCCAGTAAATAAACAGAGGTCTCTTGATAGGAAAATGTTAGCTCTAATACACAACCAGAATGCTCAGTCAACTGAGAAATCAAACAAAGAACTCAGACACAGTTTAGTGGAAAAAAACCCACTTGTGCTCATTTAACCTATCAAACCACAAATGTGTTTTCCTGAGGTAGTTAGATGGGGGAGGAGGAGAAAAACAACCTCCTGCCCTCCAGGAGTGAGACCTATTGAGAATCATAGAGCCATCAAGGTTAGAGGAGACTGCTAAGATCATCAAGTCCAACGACTGACCTGTCACTGCTGTAACCTCCAAACCCTAAACAATATCCTTCCATGCCACATCCAGATGCCTCTTAAATGCTTCCAGAGATGGTGACTCCACCACCTTCCTGGGCAATATCCCAGTGCTGAACACCCTCACAGGGAAAACATTTTTCCTCACATCCAATCTGAGTCTGCCCTGGCTCAGCTCAAGGCCATTCCCTCTTATCCTCTCCCTGCAGCCCTGGCAGGACACACATCCCTCACCTCTCTCCAGCCCTGGCAGGAGTTGCAGAGAGCCAGGAGGTCACCCTTGAGCCTCTTCTCCAGGCTAACCAACCCAACTCCCTCAGCCCTTGCCCATGTGCTCTGCCCTTTGCTGCCCTCGTTGCCCTTGGCTGGACTCGCTCCAGTGCCTCAATGGCCTTTGGGCAGTGAGTGCCCAAAGCTGAGCACAGCACTGAGCTGGGACCTCCCCAGTGCCCAGTCCAAGGGATGAGCACTGCCCTAGTCCTGCTGCCACACTCTGCTGAGCCAGGCCAAGATGCCCTTGGCCTCCTTGGCCACCTGTGCACACTGTTGGCTCCCACTGAGCTGTGCCACCAGCACTGCCAAGTCCTTTGTGACCAGCACTTCTCTCCCCACTCCTCCCCCAGCCTGGAGCTGCATGTGGCTGTCATGTCCTAAGGGCAGGAAAGATTGGGAAAAGATTTGGGCAATGCTATAGCTGATGGAAGCCCTGGGGATGCCTGCTGCCCCCCCAGCACTCACGCGCGTGGCTCTCGATGAACTTGTCGTGCTCCACCGGCCCCAGGATCCGCGCGAACCGACGCATCATCTCGTACAGCTCCTGCACCTCCTTGGGGTATCGCCTTTCCAGAACTGCAGGGGGACAGGGACACCCCTCAGCACTGAGGAGCAAACACACCTGTGGAAGCTGAAGTGACTCCCAACCTCTGAGCGGCACAGAGATCCATGTTTGGCCATTCTTGGCTGGTTTTGTGTCACTGTTAAAAACTGAGTGAAAAGCAATATAATTCTACAGCCCTTAAAATTCTAAATGCATCAAGGTATTTAAAGGTTGTTTGGTGATTGCTTACAGTAGTGAGATGCACTAAAAGGCCTGGATTTTACCTTCACCCCTCTCCTGACTCAGTGGCACCCGAAAAGCTTCTGAAGAGCAATTCCAGCACTGAGCTGGAAGTAGACAACACTGAGTAGGAATGAGTTAGAGCCAGAAGTCTGGAACCAGCTAGGGCAGGAGATCTGCTGGAATTCAGACCATCCGAGTATGGTCCAGTATGAACAAACCACACTGGTGCACTGGAAATGGTGAATGTGTGAAGTTTTGCCTCTTTGAAGTGAAGAATTACACCTGATACTCCGTGTGAAATCACACCTGATACTCACTCTGAAACTTCCTGAGGTTGATCAGGCCATGATCTCTTACAATTCTGGAAATGAGAGTAAAATGGTATTAATAAAAGCCATTAACTCCTGCATTGCCTCACAAACACAAAGGCTTCAGAATTAACTTTGATTCAGACCATCAGAGGGGTGGAAAACTAAACAGGAATGAAATCTCCATTCGCCTTGAGCTGCCTAGAAAGGAAACATGAGGTGGTTATGCAGTGTGGCTTTAATCAGGGGAAAATCTGGACAGTGTGTGCATTAGCCCAGCTCTGACAGCCCCTGAGCACAAAGGGAGCTGCAATCACCTTAAAGGTTGGAAATTGCTTCTTCAGGCACAGATTTCATGTCTACAACATCTTACACCTTGTCCTTCCGAAATCGGAGGTAGAGAATGTCTCATACAGATGATTTCCAGCTTCAGAGAGAGAAAAACATCCCCCTGCCAGAGCCAGGGGAGGGCTGTGCTGTGAATCCCACCACGGGGAGGGGGAGGAAGGAATTCTTCCATGGCAGTTTGGATTTTAAAAGGAGGCAAATGATTTCGGGAGCTCTGAGTTTGAACTGCTCCTGGCAGGCCGAGGGGAAGGAGCAGGGGCAAGGCAGGTGCTTGGTGAGTACATCTGTCACCAGTTTCAGAGTGCCACGTGGTCACTGCCGTGTGGTGACTCGATAAACACCTGACTTGGGCAAATCAGATCCCACAGAGTTGTGTTGTCAAGGTCAGGTTGGAACTTGTTCTATAAAATCCATGACATTTCCTTTGGAATGTACAAAATCTCCCTGTCACCTTTCTGAGAGTGACATCAGCATTTCTGTGTCAGATTTTCCAGATTTTTGTCCCATCCTGCTGCAGAAACTTCACAAAACCTGACACTGAGTTATGTAACTGAGCCCTGTGGCGCTTTCCTTCAGCGTGACATGATTGATCACCACGGAAATTACACCACATAAATACTTTTTCTTTAGGAATGATAAAGGACCATCTCAATCCATATCCACTCTTCCCTGTCACTCAGTGCTGTGCCATGAGGAGAAGGGCTAGAGCAGCCTTACTCCAACCCACTAATTCTTCTGGCAGGGATTAATCCAGCAAGATATCATTTTAAATATTGAACAAAGTGTTTGAAAGTTATAATAAAATTTAATTTAATGAACAGATTGAGTCATTCTAGAACACTGTCAAATGAGCTGAATAAATTATTCAACCTCACGTCAGCAGTAGAGTTATCTTTCCTAGTGGAAAACCAACTTAGGGACCACTAATATTTCTGTGGGGAAAGTGGGGGGTCAGAAATTAGTCACAGCCTGGCAAACTTTTTTTTTTCCCCCCTCCCTGAAGAGAAAATTAATGATGTGCAATCCATCAGCATTACACAGGGAGTGAAAGAGCAGAGATTTGTCTGGTTCCAGCCCTGGATCTGTGTCTGGTTTCCCAGATGGTATTTCAGTTTCCATTCTGCAAATGTGACCTCATGAGGTGTGTTGGAAGCTTAGTTATGTACAGCTGGATTTGGGGATGAAAAGTACAGTGTACACGACTTCCCTGCACTAAAAAGGAGGGGGAAATAGGCTTTTTGTAAGAGTTTAAGGAGAGTTCTTTGTCAACCCTGTGTACAACCAGTCTCAGGGGCTGTTGGTCTGTGTTTCTGGTACCTCGTGCCTGATCCTAACCATGCAGGAACAACCATACATTCAAGGGAATCCTGTCCTGAGCTCAGGACCTCAGGAGGTCTCCATGCATGGGAATTGTCTGGAAGGATGTGATAGGAAATCAGGTATGTTTAGTATTAGCACAACAGTGGGGACCAAAATGTATTCATGAAGCAAACAAACACAGTTATTGCTTGAAAACTCACTTTTTCCTTCTCTGTCTTTCCTTTAACCTGGAGTGATAGATATCTACAACTGCAATCTTCAGGGCTGCAAAGGAAAAAGATGACACGAGTCATAAATAACCACTGTATGAGGCTGATTTTCAAGCCTGAAATGGTCACTGCTTTGCTGTTTTAGAAGTCCTGTGGCATATTTACAGGGGCATCAGCTCACTAGAGACTAACCTGCAGGACATGCTACCTATGGAAGCTTTCTTTGGCTTAGTCCTTCCAAATCCTTACTGTAAACAGACTCATGTAAACATGAACCTGGGTAGATCCTGAGAACTCTTTTCCTCCTCCTTCTTGGGCTGTCCTACTATCAGCACTTATTTTCTCCTTCATACACGCAATTGTTAAGTATTTCTCCTCCTGGAAAGCAGATTTATCAGGTTTAAGGATCTGAGGTATCACCTTTGGGCAAAAGCTTCTTTGCACAGAACAAGGAACTCCTTGTTCTGTGCAAATAGAAACACACAGTCCTAGCTGTGAAGATTCAAAGTAGCCTTTGCTAGAGTTGTTAAAAACACCTAGAAGGTTCTAGCTTGTTAACTTCCAAACTTCTCTGTCTGCCAGGAGAACAAAGAATAGTTCAGGACAGTGTGAAGGAGCTCAGGAAAAATTGATGCTCATTAGAAATCATATCCTTTCCTGAATCAGCCCTGTCTGCAGGATGCTGATCCACTCACATCCTGCAGCTGCTTTTGCCTGTAACCACTAGGTTAATAAACTGATTTTAGGTAAATTCTTGAGGGAAAATACCAAGAAACACTTATCACTTTCCCCTCCCTCATTCTGTTAACTAACACACACATTCTAGGTCAGTAAATGAGTGTAGAATTGGCTCATTCCACAGTGGTTTTTTCTCCTTTAGGTTAATCATAGAATCATAGAACCAACCAGGTTGGAAAAGACCTCCAAGACCAACAAGTCCAACCTTACCATGGTCACTAGACCATGGCACTAAGTGCCACATCCAGTCTCACCTTGAAAACCTCCAGGGATGGGGAATCCACCACCTCCCTGGGCAGCCCAAGGGGGACAGAACCCTGAATCCATTTCTCTGTAGCTACACAAGAAGAGCAAAACTGATAGTGGCAGTTTATTGATTGCACTCTGATAAATAATTAAGAGTGCAATTAAGCAGTGTGGTTATGTGTCTATTTTAAATATGTATTTATGTGTAAGCATCAGGAAGCCCCAAACCTCTGGGAAATCCATCTGTGCATCCCTCTGGGTAATCAAATTCATACAAACAGGCACAGCTGAAACCCAAAGGCTGAGAGGATTAGCTCAGGAGCCACAGTTTGGGGTGACACTTGCTGATCCCTAGGAGAAAAAATCTTCACTTTATTCCAAACTGATTTGCTGTTAATCTAAGAGCAAAAGATTTCATAGGAGATGGGAGCATGGTGCAATATTCCCACTTACTTTTGCAGATTTCTTGCATTTTCAAGTATTTTCATCAGGAGGTATTTAAGCTTCCTAATTTAAGAACAAGCAGAGAGAGCAAATTCTGCTTCTTTGCCTAACTGTGGGGACAAGAAACTGGGAATACAGCAAGTTAAACATGAATGAAATCCATTAGGAAGGGCTGGAATTGGTGCCAATTGATGGAAAATATGTTTGTAGCTTTCAAACCCTCTGCAAGCTCAGCCAACTTGTTATTTTTTCTGGGGTTTGTGTGGGCAGAGCTTAATAAGTACATGCAGAAACTGCACTGGAGAACCTCTATAAATATCACAAGTAATTATGCACCTCTAACCGTGGCGTTTGGATGCTTTCACCTGAGTGCACAACACCCTGGGAGAGATGGTGATCAGCTGGGGAGAGGAAGGGACAAACGAGGGGAAAAAATGGAGCTTTGCTCAGAGGAAAATTAGTATTTGCTGCCACATGCCCTTTTGGAGGGGCTTTTGTTTTTAATAGACATATTCACCCAGGACCAGGCGATTACCAGATCTGGAATGCATGAATAGCTCTGACTACTACACTGTTACACACTGCATGGAAATGAGAGAGGAGATGCTGTAGGAATGAGAATGATTTGCCTGTGCTTTCCCCCATGGGCTGTACCAGGGAGGCAGTTGTTTGTCCTGGCAGTGTAAGCTGATCCAAGCTGACACCTTGCTCAGTGCCCACTTTGGGCTGTGCCACTCAGGGCAGCTCACAAGGCCCCAGCGATAGGCAGAAACTCAAGGCTCCTTTCACCATTCCCCCAAAACCCCAAATATTTTGGTTTCTCCAGAGTGTGTCCAAACCATTTACTTTGCTCTTCATTCCTCTTCAGCCTCATTTGGCCTGCAGAGAACTTTGCTGAGCACTAATGAGTGAGACCTTTGTTTCCTGCGAACCTGCTTGGCGTGAGAGGCCCAAATAGAGGGAAGAATGCAAACTAATCCCAGTAAACAGCCTGTGGGACCAGTGTGTGCCGTGGTTGGGACACACTGCATGGCTGCAGTCCAAATCCACCCTCCCTGGAGGAAAGCAGGACCCATGGCAAACAGTTATCTGCCTTTGGAGCATGTCAGGAAGCTCCACAAAAGGATAAACATCATCTTCTGTCTGGAAGGACAGTGACTGCCTTGTCTTAGAAAATCAAACTTCCCTGCCACTTGCAGCCTATTTCCACTCCCTTCTGAACTTGTGGTTTCAGCAATTACTTTGCAGTGTTAGAAGTGAAAATCATTTACATGAGAAGGGGGGGAAAAAAGCTGGGAAAAAGGATAAATTACTAACGTTCTAATTCAGCCTGATGAAAAGTTGTAGTTCATGAAATATTCAAGCGCCGTGGGCTGAATTAGGCTTGTAACTGTTGGTGCTTTTGATCTGTCCATTATGTTTTTGTGTAACTGCAATATGTATTTGCATGCCCTTACTTAGTGCCAGCACTGAATAAAAGGGAACAAATCCAGAATGTAATGGAAATAGGAGAGACTTCTTTCTGCCACCTCACTAGTATCAAGAAGGGAGTGAATGATGCCTGTGACCCCCTGTGAGGTGGGAGGAGGTGGTGAGGCAGCAGGAAAAAGTTCTGTGTTCCTCCCAAACCTGCCTGGGAGTCTTCCCACCCTGTATAAAATTGCATCTTCTTGTGGGAATACCAAAAACTTTAGACTGAGTCAGGGAAATATAACAGGGAAAATACATCATGTATAAAAATACATATGTCATATAAAAGATGTATTAGGAAACAGAGGTCAAGCAGCTCAGATACAGAACTTCTTATAAAATCATTTTCACAGCATGCTAAGCAAAGCAGTGTAGAAGAAAGGGAACAAGGGGGAATTCCACTTCAATGGGAGCATCACGTATTCCTGTGTGATGTGTAGCCTTGGCACTGCAGCACTGATCTGTGACTTGTGAGCCAAAAGGAAGAGACCAGAGACATTGTACTTCTCGGGGCCTAGCTGAGCAGCTTTCAGAAAATGGAATAGAAAAGTAGTTTTCAAAAATTAATCTTGAACCCAGTGAGGTACAATGTGTGGCAGGAAAGCAAACAGAGGATTTTTTCACATCTTTAATCGATGCTGCAAAGCCCCATTTGGGTTTCTTGGGGTTACAGAATGTGTTAAACCCCTGTTTGACATCCTTCCCTGCACCTCCAGGTTGTCTCAGAGCCCTCTCTGCCTGGCAGCTGTGAAGCACAAAGCCTCTTCAAACCAGCCCTGCTCTCAGGTCCACATGTTGCACTGTGAAATCCTACAATTAGGTTGCAAAACATTCCCAAGCAAAGTCAGCAGCTGAGATCGTCAGAACTGCAGGACAGGGAGGATGTGGCTCCTTCCTTTCTTTGTATTCACTTGGAGAAGGGAAAGATCTCATTCCAAAGCTTTTAGGAGAGCATTCTTTCTCTCCCCAAGATGCCTCGTGTGAAAGAGAAGCAGCTGGTTAGACCCTGGGACTTCATTTTTCAGAGGTTTCTCTCTCACGTGGGCAGAGCTGGGACAGCTGTGGGAGGCAGATGCCAGAGTTCCTGAGCTCAGAGATCCAAAAGGGAGTTGGTCACACTCCATACCCTCTGCCAAACAGCCTGCACTGAGCAAATGCCTGACATCCCTTAGTAAGCACTGAAGACAGCTGAGGGATGGACTGGAGCATCCAATGAAATTACCAGGCAAAAGACTGGACAGATAGAGGGAAGTATTTCTTCACATGACACATAATTACATTCAGAGCTCCTAACTCAATTGTGGAACTCTGCTACAGGATGTAGGGGCAGGAGTACAGACAGATACAGTCCCAGCAGTAGTTAGCTAAGCTGCTGGAGGACAGGGCCTTGGTCAAAATGGTCTGAACACAACCCGAGGCTCAAGGAGTCTCCAAACTTGTCACTGCAGGAAATGCAGAGGATGCCACAAAGCTGATAAGAGCACTTCCCTATAGAGACAGGCTGAGAGGAGTCTGGAGAATGTTGTAGGGAGACTTCACAGCCCCTTCCAGGAGCTGAAGGGGCTCCAGGGAAGCCAGAGAGGGACTCTGCATCAGGAACTGCAGAGATAGGACATGGAGTAATAGGTTCAAATTGGAAGAGGTGAAATTTAGGTTAGAAATTCTTCCCTGTGAGGTGCTGAGGCACTGGTTGCCCAGAGAAGCTGTGGCTGTTCCATCCCTGGGAGTGTTCCAGGCCAGGCTGGATGGGGATTGGAGCAGCCTGGGCTGGTGGGAGGTGTCCCTGCCATGGTGGGATGGGATGAGCTTTATGGTCTCTTCCAATCCAAACCATTCCATGATTCTACATGGAAGATATGCCAGGAAATGGATCTGCCTATAGTTCTCTTATGTTCTCCTCCCCGGTGTGTCTCCTGAGGAGCACTGAGGGGACACTGAATGAGACAGACCAGAGGGTTTGGCCCTGTGCAGCTCTGTGATCCTCTGAAGGGAGGAGGAGAGCTGATTCTTGCTTCCACTGGCAAGTTAAACAGGAGGATGATAGGAGAGACCTCAAATGACTGAACTGTGCATGGGAGGAAGGCAGGTGTGAGGGGGATGGAAGGCAGAGCTGCAAACCTGCTCAAATGAATATTAATCTATCCATTAATGTGCAGAACTAGGAGATTATTTTGCTTTTCCAGGCCCCAGGATCGGACGAAAGAGCAGAGGGTTGGCAGGATGAACCTGTGACATGGCCTCAGGCCAGGGCCCCTTTCAGTGGCTGTGAAAAGGGGAGAGACTGACACACGATGCTCATGGCCCTCCCTGAGCCAAGGCAGTTTGCATTCCTGAAAGCTCCTGTGTACACTGCTAAATTTCAAACTCATTTCTTTAACTCTGGCAGGGCTGTCTGTACCTAACAGGATTTGTCTGTCTCCAAGGGATGCATAGGCTTTAGCTGAGAGCTGCCTGACACAGATGGGAGAATTCTGAGGCATAAACACAGGACTTTCAACCACTATATGTGCTTATAAACGCGGGGGAAAGTAGGAGCTTTGCTGCTCTGAGGATTAAAGTGTCACTGTAATAACTCCTGTTGTTTGGCATTATTAAGGCAGTTATGTTCACAGACACTCAGAGCAGGAACTGGACTCATCCAAACATCTTCACAATAAAGAGAAGCTGTCACACAGCTCATGCTGTAACCCAGGGCATGTTTAACACAGGAAAATCACATAGGTTCAAGACAACAACAGTGTAAATGTGTTACACATAATCTTAAACTCCACACTTTGCTGCCTGCATTAAAACCCACCCTGACAGCAAACAGAGACAGATATTTTCTAAACTAGTAATCCTAACTAATAATAAGTGACAGATCTCCTAAGAAACTAGATGTAGTAGGAAAGGAGTACTGGTAACACGAGGAAAAGATGCTCCTCTTCCTGAATCACAACAAGGATTGTGCCTTGCTGTGACACTCACAAACTTTATGTAGATGGAAGGAATCTTTTTGAGCTGGAGAGAAGAAGTAATATCAAGGCATTGATGTTTTCTGGTTTTTAATAGCCCTGTGGGTCTGTTTATCCAAACTCTGATGCACTGTTACCTGTACTGTCTTTCCTAAGGAGATGGCTGTGACTTGTGGAGACTATTGGATCTCAGTCTTGTTCTGGCTGCATTTCAGCAGTGAGTGAGGTGCATTATTCTATACATAAATACCATTTGTACATCAGAGCTTTTAAAAGAGAACTGGAAGTGAGGACCATGGAAATCCCAGTGTTTAAATCCCAGTGAGATTTAAAAAAAACATTAAAAAATTGATTAAAAAAACATTAAAAGACATACATTATTTAAAATGCATACATTAAAGTGTATGTTCACTGTCCAAGGGTGCAGAGAGACCCAAAGAAGAGCTGTGTAGGCACACTGAAATGTTGTTTTCAGACAGGGTACAAAAATATGGGACTTACCATGCAAAATGTCTGAATCATCTTCTACAAAATCAATATCTCTCAAATCCCATTCAGCATAGTTGTCAAACTCCTGTTCAGAGGTGATTAATACAGTCACTAACAAGCACTGAAATATTGGGCTCCAGTTTCAGCACATACAGAAGGACTGAAAACAGAGGTGTTTACTCATACACAGCTGTACAAGGTTCCACCCCTGAGCAGCAAACATCCCAATGGAGCTTTGAGTGGGGAATGTGTAACATGCACCCCATGGCTGGAATTGGAGTAGGAGGCTGTGACAGGAGAAGGAGAACTCATCAGGTAACTTCCATGACACTCACACTGTGGTGGAAATTAGAATCACAGATTGGAAGTGACCCAGAGCTGGAAGTGACCCACCAGGATCACCAGTCCAACTCCAGGCCCTGCACAGGACAATCCCAACCATCCCACCCTGTGCCTGAGAGTGTTGTCCAGGCACATGGTGTGGTTCTTGGGGTGGTCCTGAGGTTCATCAATTGGTGATTCTGCTCAGGTGCCCAAAACCAGCCCCTACATGGCTGAATTCACTCTTTCATGGACAGGAGCTGGTTTGGCCACAGGAACTGGGGCCCTGTGCCCACAGCTAAAAGCACTGAGAACAATGCAGGTCTTTCAAGTGATCCCTGGAGCAGACTCGTGTGTGCTTCCCTAGGGCAGATGACAGAGAGCTGGAGCTGATCCCTTTGGCTCAGCATCGACTTCACAGCATCCACTCTGCTTACATAAGGGCCAATCCTGGCTGGACATCTGGTGGCAGCAGCACGTCCTGCAGCCTCACACACTGCTGCAGCCAGCTCTGCAGGGCACCAGCGCCACCTCTGTCATCACAGCCTTAATTAATCCAGAGGTTTAATCACAGAACAGCTCCAGCTGGAAGGGATGCATCAGGATCAGTGCCCAACTCCCTGCTCCTCACAGGATAACCTTAAACTAAACCACAACACTAAGAAAATCGCTCACTCCTGCCCTCTCCTCTGATGGTTTTTACATGGAGTGAAGACCTACAGGCAGGGGCAAACAGGTGTGTGTGTGCCGAGCCTGCACCCAGCAGCACACAAAAAACAAGAGAGAAGAGTGAGTCTTACCTCAACAAAGTCAGCTCTGGCTGGCATGTACCCAGCCATGTCCCTGGAGAGCAAGGAATCAAAGGCAGGCCGTGGGGGATCATCAGCAGCTGAGAAAAACAAAGGGGTTTAGTTGTTGTGCAGAGCTTGAGGTCTGTTTTTAAAGGTCTGTAAGTAAGTGTTTATCTTGCAGGAAAAGTGGGAATAATTAGTTGAAGAAAAATACACTGACTGGGTTTTTATTCAGTGTTCTAGTCAGGCTGAGTTCATCCAGAGAAAAATGCAGTAATCTGAGCTCCTCAGAGCATTCCCAAAAGTCATACACAAATTCAAGGTAATAAATAGGTTGTAAAATGTAAACTTTACATTTTGGAGCTCAGCATCCCCCTGTAAACCTCTGCAGATCCCTCAGGCTCAGCATGCAGGTTCCTTTAGTTAGTAGCAACAGGAGTGTTAAATCTGCCTCTTCTGGGGGCCATCGACAGAGCTGCAATTAAAGCCATACAACTCCCAATTTTTACAACACTTCCCAGCTGAGGAGCTCAGTGTTTTGCAGACAGTAATGGTCTGAGGCTCACAACACACTTGTGCAGGAGCTGAGCATTATATGTCCCATGCTACAGATAAAGGAAGCTAAGGCACAGAGAGTTTATCTTGGTCCAGGTCACATAAAAGAGTCAGTAACAGAAACAAAATTGTCCAGTTCCTACTGCTTAGCTCTAACCACTTTTCTGGGAAGTGTAAACCTCCAGACAGCAGCAATTGTTCCTCCCAGACATGCTGGGGAGCTTTGGAATGGAACAGCTGCCAGACTGGGGGAATGCTAAAGATGTGAGATGCAAGGAAAGCTGAGAATTTGTTAACGTGCTGAAATTCAGCTCAGACTTCTTAACAGGCAGTTTTAAAGGTGTGAAATCAGCAGAGCTGAAAGGAGAGATTTTATGACAAATCACATCAGCAGTTAGGCCTGGGACACAGTGAGGAACCAGGGGAAATGTTCCAAGGCAGAAATCACTTTTCAGTGACTTCTGTATACAAGGACAGGACAGGGACATTGACCACCAGCACCAGGGTGGGAATCACAGGGGTTTGTACCAGGAGGGACACACATGGAGGAGCTTGGAGGTAGTTTGTTCTTTAAATAGATACACCCCCCCCAGGTCTCTGCTGTTGTGGTTTCTGAGGGAACATGTCCTCTGGCTGGGCAGGAACTCCTGAGAGCCTGATGTCTGTATCAGACCACTCTGCCCCTGCCTTTCCCCAGGGAACTGTCAGCCTTGTCTGTCTGATACACCAATGAATCAATCCAGTGTGAAGCAAACTCTACTACTAACACAACTCAAGCCAGTGCAGGAATGAAAGCAAATGACATGTGCGGTGTATGTCCTGCTCCAGAGCTGCTGATTCCAGCTTTGGCAGAGTCCTGGCAGGACAGGGATACTCACAGTGGAAGGGAATGGCTGTTTCACTGTGCTGTGCCTCCTCTGCCTGCTTCAGGTTCAGCAAGGTGGATGCAAACAGGGGGTTGTTGATGAAGTGCTTCATGTAGTGCTTCTCACACTCCTCCTTGGATTTGGTACACATCTGGTTGGCTACATCCTGCCTGGAGCGGGGAGAAGGGGCTTCATGTGAAGAACACAGAAATGTCAAGGGGATTTTAATTTCTCTAGTGGGAGAAGATAATTTTGGAGAAGAGGCTGATTGTGGTGTGTGCAGAGAACTGCCCTGGGATGATGTCTGAACTCACATTTCCAGGACTAACACTGAGCCAATGTTTGATGCAGTGCCAGGGAGCTCTTTTTGTGTGGCCATGAGCAATGCACATCACTGTCTCCACAAGAGAAACTCCCCGGTTGAGGGAATGCACCAAATCTTTGGCAGGTTTTGCTATTTACAATTGCTATTTGAGGGTTTTTTGTACATTTAACTAACCCCAGGTAATGGTAAATTCTGGAACTGCATTCTGCTTCCTAAGTTTCTCCTGTGATTTTAACTGGATAGTGGTTTCCCCTGCCATGGAGCAATGTTAAACAGGGATTTTTTAGGGAGAAATTCTTCCCTGTGAGGGTGATGAGACACAGGTTGTCCAGAGCAGCTGTGGGTGCTCCATCCTTGGGAGTGTTCCAGGCCAGGCTGGATGGGACTTGGAGCAACCTGGGCTGGGGGAAGGTGTCCCTGCCCATGGCAGGAGTGGGATGGGATGAGCTTTAAGCTCCTTTCCAACCCAATCCCTTCTGTGACTCTGTGATTCAGTTTCTTAAACACCAAAATGGTTGTACAAAACACATTCTAGAAACCTTCACCAAATTTTCCTGGAAAAGTGGTTGACTAAAACCATGAAGTGTTTTCTCTTTATAAAATGTCTGAGTTGAGGATATAAATCCACCAGCTGCAATCATTTTACTGACTGTTAAACTCCAAATGGGATGCAAAGGATTGCAGGGAAAAAAAAGGTCAGTTTTTCCTTTATTTGGTAAAGGCTGAAAAAGGCTAAATGTTTGCGGAAAAAGTGAAGATTGTTTGTACTGCTAAGCAGGGCAAAGTGACTAGACAGAAGCAGTTTTCAGCCTTAATTCTGACAGCAGCATGCACATAAGAACTCTCAGCTCTGTTTCAGTGAGTTCTGGGCTTCTCAGCTTCTAATACAGCTATTTTTTCCATGAAGGAGAAGAGAGAGAACCCATGAAAACAGGATCTGGTATCCTAGAGTTTGACTGTAGCTTAGTGTCTCACCCACCCTAAGTCATTGAACAGTCAATGTGCACTGAGGTATTCCACGGTGAGATCCAGGGAAATGAGAGGAAAAACTGCCCAACCTGCACTGAAATTGGCTGAACCACTGAATTCTCACCAGTTCCCAAATCCACAGTCCATCACAGCTTCGAGGAGAGACATTTCCTCCTGAGCTGTCCAGTTGGGATCCAAGACAGGGAAATCTGATGTCTAGAGAAGGAGAAAGCAGATCAGACTGCTGTGAGCTTGTTGTAACCCACCCCAGGAGGAGCAAAGGAGCTTTAAACCACAGTGGATTATAGTGATAGCTTCAAACTTTCACTGTGTCCCAAGAAACCTGATGGAGTTATTTAGGGCATTGGTTTATCCACCACAGCAAACAGTGGCACATGTTGTATCTCCCAGCTCTAACCCAACCACGTCATGCTGGGAAACACAGTAAAAATTACTAAAGGCCTTAAAACCCATTAATTTTGGGGAAGAAAAACCAAGACTAGAGAAGCAGAGGCTGATTCACGTGGCTGGAGAACTGGAAGTTAGTGAAGTGCATTGTGCCAGCTATAAATAGCTCTGAATGACTCCACTACTCCAACATGTTCCAGGTGGATAATTTTCTCTGCTATCAAGGAAGACTTTTTCTTTCCTTTAATAGTTCTAAACCTCTGAATCAAACAACTGCATCACTTAACCTTTCAGTGTAACATTAGTAAGCAAAGGTCTCTCTCCTGGGAAGCTGTGTAAGCTCAGGATTGAGTGGGTGTTATCCAAGTGGAATATTTACCATGATCTCGTAAGTGTGATCACTTTGGTGTTTCTTGTATTCAAATCCTCTGGTGAAACACTGCAGGAAAAAGGAGCAGCATCATGTTAGTCCTTCTTCTGCCCTGAACATTGTCACTAGTCCCTTTTCCCCTTCTGTTCCCTGACCACTGAGTATCCAAACTTCCCACCTGACACACTCGATTTTCCTCATTTCATTCCAGAAAACCCATAAAATGGTAGAAAAAAATGTGCTAAAATTGGGTTAAATCTTTGTATTCTGCCCCAAGACACAACTCCCGTGAATCCCAATTTTTTTGTTATGTATTTATGGCAAAATCAGGCAGGTGAGAAAAAAATTGGTGCTATAAAGTTGCTCATTCTAGGAAAAGTGCACAGAGCATTTAACAAGCATTGCAAACTCAGTTTGACTTTAAGCTGAGCTCTCTGATTAAATGGTTTGTAGGTACTTTTAACAGTTAAATTTCTAGTTTTTAAATACAAGCAAATGAACAAAAATGGACCCAATACACAAAATAGAGGTTTGTGCATTTTATACATGTATTTTTTACAGTTCAAGGCTCAGCTCCTTTTTCCCTTCTTGAGGTTATTGCCAATTTTCAACCATGGTAACACAAACTGATTTAATAATTAAACCCAGCACTACTTTCTGTGGTTTATCAGATCACACACAGAGCTTTTAAACAACTGCATCTCATCACCAGCAATTCTTGTCAATATTGCAGATTTTCCTTTTCCACTTAGGAGAGGGAAAATGTGTGTGGACAGGGAAAAGGTGTTTCTGGATGGATTTCCTTTCCCATGGCACAAAAACATGACAGAGCTGATGCTCCTCCAGACATGCAGCAGCACGCTGGGCTACAGCCAGGCTGACTGAACCTCTCTAGGTGCTGCACAAAGAGCTCCTTCACCTGCTCCTGCCTCAATTCTTCATCCTCCTGACTCCCTTTGTCATTTCCCTGTCCCTGAGCAAACAAGTGTGCTGGGACAAGTCTCCAGAGACCAGTTATTAATATGTTTATGGACAGCCTGGCACCAGACAGGCCTCTGGTGGCTTTCTCAGGGACATGAGTGCCTCTGTGTCCCACAGCACTCACCTGCAGGCACAGGAGGAAGGGAGGAGGGCCACACTCAGCACACTTCACATAGGGCTCTGTGAGGTAGGAGGAGCACCCACGGCACGGAGGTTTGTCAAAAGGGTCACCTGGGGAACCAAAGGTAAATCTCATGTAACAGAGCCAAGGAAGTGGTTTGGCATCACCGAATTCACAGCACCAGAGTATGTGAAGGGGTTGGAATGGAGCCCCAAACCCTGCCCTGGGAAGGGACACCTCCCACCAGAGCAGGTTGCTCAAGGCTCATCCAACCTGGCTGTGAACACCACCAGGGTTGGGGCAGCCACAGCCTCCCTGGGCAACCTGGGACAGTGTCTCACCACCCTCACAGGGAAAACTTCTGCCTAATAGCTAACCTAAACTTTCCCTCCATCAATTTTTCCCCATTACTCCTTGTCCTGTCACTGCAGCTCCTAACAGAGTCCCTCTGCAGCTTCCCTGGAGCCCCTTCAGCTCCTGGAAGGTGCTCTGAGGTCTCCACACAACCTTCTCCTCTCCAGGCACATTCACTTGTGCCCAGTCCCAGAACTTGTAGGCTCCTTTGAGCCCAGGATATCCTCTGAATTTTAGGTGAACTCTGCTGTGTATAAGCCTTTCCTACTGCAGCTTTTTGAACACTTCCAGGGATGATGACCCCAAAACTCCACAGCTCCAAGAAATCCTTGTCCCTGCTTTTCCATGACTGAATGTGGGAGATGAATTAGGTGATGGCACTTACTGCTGAAGGAGGCCAAACGCTCCATGGCTCTCCCCTGGTGCTGCTCCTGCTGCTCCCAGTGACACTGTCTTGCTTAAACACCTGGAGCCTGAGCCCTGTCCCCGCCAGTGTGTCCTACAGGGAATTCTCTCCCTGGAGCTGCACCTCTCCAGAGCACTGGAAAGAAAACCAGCAGGTCAGGGACGGCACAGACACAGAAGTGCAAACATGTGCCCTGCTCATGCCAACACCATTTTTTGGGCTGTGTGGCATATCAAGCTTCCCATATCCAACTAACCCATATCCCACTCCACCAAAACCCACTCCCCAGTCCCTACTCCCCCATATCTCAATCCCCAATCCCCTCTATCTCATTCCCCCAATCTCCACTCCCCCCTATCCTGCTCGCCACACCCCAACTCCCACTCCCATATCCCATTCCTCATATCCCAATGCCATATCCCATTCCCTGTGTCCCATTCTCCCAATCCCATATCCCAACCCTATTCCCCATATCCCACTCCCCACTCTCATATCCCACTTCCATATCCCCATTCCCCATCTCCCAATCCCCATCTCCCACTTCCATATCCTCATTTTCCATCTCCCAATCCTCACTCCCATATTCCACTCCCCACTCCCATATCCACTTCCATATCCTCATTCCCCATCTCCCAATCCTCATATCCCACTTCCATATCCTCATTTTCCATCTCCCAATCCCCACTCCCATATCCCCAGTCCCCATCTCCCATATCCACTTCCATATCCCCATTCCCCATCTCCCAATCCCCATCTCCCACTTCCATATCCTCATTTTCCATCTCCCAATCCCCACTCCCATATCCCCAGTCCCCATCTCCCATATCCACTTCCATATCCCCATTCCCCATCTCCCAATCCCCATCTCCCACTTCCATATCCTCATTTTCCATCTCCCAATCCCCACTCCCATATCCCCAGTCCCCATCTCCCATATCCACTTCCATATCCCCATTCCCCATCTCCCAATCCCCATCTCCCACTTCCATATCCTCATTTTCCACCTCCCACTCCCCACTCCCATATCCCACTTCCATATCCTAATTTTCCATCTCCCAACCCCCACTCCCATATCCCCATTCCCCATCACCCATATCCCACTCCCCACTCCCATATCCTCATTTCCCATCTCCCAATCCACACTCCCATATCCCATTCCTCATCTTCCCATTCCCCACTCCCTTCCCCGTCCCTCCCGCCCATCACCGCCAGGGGGCGCC